GGGAAAACCAAGGGGTGTCTCAGGGGAATGGGGGTGGATGAACTGCAGCAGCAGGAGGGAAATGTGCCGACTTCTCCCACCACTCTCCCCACAGACCCGGCGGGGCTCCCATCCCTCCTGCCGTGCCTCTGCACCCCCAGGGCCCATCCCGTGTCTCAGAGCAGGGCAGGGATGCTCGGGACTCACCTGCTGACCCCGGGCAGGTCCCACTCGCGGTCTGACAGACAAACCCCAAATCTTTAACCACAGCCCCCTCTAATGGCCCGATCCCCGCAGCTCCCCGGGCAGCGCCGCTCTCGGGGGATGCAAACCCTGCCCGGGATTTGGCACGGCAGTCACACTGTCCCTGCCAGAGCGGCTGAGCAGGGACACAGCACGGCTGTCACCTCCCTCGGGACACAGCACGGCTGTCACCTCCCTCGGGACACAGCACGGCTGTCACCTCCCTCGGGACACCTGAGCCTCGGGCTGTGCCCCACGGCAGAGCGGGGTTGGGTCCTTCCCCTTTTTACTGGGTGTAAAAGCTTTGATGGGCAGCCTTGGGGACACAGAGCCTTGGGGACACAGAGCCAAGGGGACAGAGAGCAGCCTTGGGGACACAGAGCCTTGGGGACACACAGAGCAGCCTTGGGGACACACAGAGCAGCCTTGGGGACACAGAGCCTTGGGGACACACAGAGCAGCCTTGGGGACACAGAGCAGCCCCAGGACACACCAGCCTGGACACATCTCCTGGCTGCTGCAGGGGCTGGGACATCAATGGAAACCCCGACTCAGCTGCTCCCTGCCCTTTCCAGCAAGGAAATTGGGGAAAACTTCCAGCAAAGCCTCGGGGTGGCCGTGGGCACAGAGCTGGGACAGGCACTCTCTGCTCCTGGGCTGAGCCCTGTGTGGAGCCCTGCTCTGAGGTCCCAGAGGCATCAGAAATGTCACCTGATGGTGACTTCAGCTGGATTTCAGTGCTGTTGTGGCTGAGGAAGGAAAAGCCATGAGAAATCAGACCCGTGATTTTGGCAGGATGGCTCAGCCCAGCTGCTGCCTGCAGGAGAGTCCTGCCTCTGCTTGGTGCCTCGCTGGCTGAAACATCCCTCTCTTTTGTGCAGGGGGCTGGCCTGAGCCTGAGCATGCTGCTCCTGCTGCCTTTGGGGACAGTTTCATGGCAGCCAGGCCAGTAGCTGCTTTAGGATGGTTTGGTTTTGGGTTTTTCTTTTACACACATCTTCAGGTATTGTTGTCGACTCAAACCCAACTCCTAGTGCCAGATGTGGCTGATCTTGTCTTCTGGAGCCAAACTGTGGTGTTGAAATGATCCAACAGCAGGCTGGAACTCCTGGATGCTCTGCTGTGTCCACCAGGGTGGAGCGAGGTGGGCAAGCCCCCCGTGCTGCCCTGGGGATGTTTCAGTCACACTGTCCCCCCTGTGTGCACCCACAGCCCTGCTGTGTCACCCAGTCTGCCTGGCTGAGCCTGGCTGGGTCTCTGTGCTGCCAACAGCAGGGAAATGAGGAGGAGGAGGAAGGCCCAGCAGGAACCCGGCTGCAGCTCCTTGCCCTGGAAACAACTTGGGGTTGAAGCCAGGTTCAGGATTTTCCAAGCCTGGCTGAGAGAAATGCTCCTGTGGCTGGGCAAAGAGGCTCCTCTGTGTATCCTACACCACTTCCAGTGCTCTGGGTGTTTCCCTTCACCTCCCACTTCTCCAAGGGCTGTGCCCTGGGCTCCCCTGTGACCTGGTCCCTGAGACCCTTGTGCTGGTTGAGTCTGAGTGGGGATGGGGATTTTGGGGTTTTTTAGGAGCCCTGGAGGGGCACGAGGGCATTGAGAACAAGGTGGCATCACCAGGAATTGTCCCTTTAGCTCTGGAGCACACAGCACAGTGGGAGCAAGCCCCAGCTCTCCCACAGCAGCAGGTTACACACTACCCCCCAAAAGCACAGAAATGCAGCAAGCCAACACTGGAGCCTCAGGATATTTAATTTTTTCCACTGTTTTCAGTGTTTGCCCTTCCCTTGGCACAGGGCAGGGGATCCTCCAGCAGCAGGGGCTGTGGCAAGGCTGGCAGCACCAGCCCAGCCAGCCCTGCTGGGGCTGCCCATGCCATGGCTCCCTGCTTCTCCCTGGGTTTCCTTTGCTTCGTGGCCACTGCAAGTTCCAGCAGCCAGGCTGGAAGGGAAGCCTGGCCCCTGTCCCCCTGGGCTGGCTCCAGGGCAGCAGAAAGTGGCTCTTTGTGGGGTCACTTTTTCTGGCAGGGGGAGCTCCCCCCCAGCCCCTGTTTATCCAAAGTACCCAAAGCCTACCTGTAAAAGTGAGTTTTGGCACAAGAACCCCGAGGAGAGCATTTGCCAGGGAAAAATCTTGTCAGGAGGCTTTAGGAAAACAGGATTACTCACGCAGGGGAAATTCACCCAGCCAGGCTGAGCACCCTGCTCAGACCTGCTGAGCCCAGCTTTGCCTCCAGCTGCAGAAGGTGCCTGCAAAAGGAAGCTGCTCCTCCTCAGTGCTGCCCACCCGGGGCTGGTGCAGGCTTGTGGGTCCCCACTCCCCTCTGAGGGACACATCAGGCCACAGGGGACATTTCTGGGGTGAGGCTGGCTGGGGCAGGGGGGGTTTGTGTGCTGGATGCTCCTGGAGCTCTGCTGAGCCAGGGCAAAGCCCAGCCCTGGGGCACTGCCTGGGGGCTGCTGATTCTGCTTCCTGCCCGGTTCTTCCCATCACCAGGCCTCCATGGAGTCACTTTTCCCTAGGCATGAAGCAATCCAAGCTTTAGTGTCACTTTCCTTTCTTTCAAACACTAAAAACCTCTGTTCTCTTCAAGCCAGAGCCAAATTCAACAAGCATCAAGCAAAACTCTGCTGGGTGCTCTGAGCTCGCTCTGCGATCCTGACTGTCCTGACACAGGTTACAAACAACTTCCCAAAGCTTTACACAGCCTGAGAGATGGGATTTGAGAGCTGCAACCCCCCAGTGCAAACCACTGCAATGGGCATACTGACTGTCCAGGCCAGAGGAATTGGCTTTTTCCACTCAGACCTGCTCCTGCATCAGGGCAGCACAGCCAAGGGGAATTTTTGCTCAAGTGCACTGGGAGGGATAAAACATCAAGGCTCCTGCTGAGCCTGAGCACAGAGCAGCTGGCAGGACAGGTGAGGGCAGTGCCCATCACCCAGCAGCTGCTTCCTTAAAACAATTCTGCACAAAAGCTGAAGTCCAGCACCAAGGAAAACACCAAACCCCAGAGAAGTGGAGGCTGAAATAGGGAATTACTCCTCCAAATCTGACCACCAGCAAACCTTGCCAGTGCTGACCCCCTGAGTAAAAGGAAAGGAGCAGGTTTCTCACCAGCTGCATGATGGAGATGGCACAAGATGAAAATAACAAGGGCTGGGAGAAGAATTTATTCTAGAGAACCAGTGTTGCCTTGTTTTTCCTCATTCCTTGCAAGTTTCTTATTTTTAGGATACCAATTATAACTTTTTATCTATATTGCATGCCATACCTATACCTCTACTAGACCAAGCAGTTTAATGCATTTTTTTAAGCCAGTCTGATCTTTCAGTAAAACTTTTGATGTCCAAGGGGCAGGCCTCAGATGAGCAGCATTCAGGGAAAGATTTGGGATGGCACTTCATGCCTTGCTTTATCTTCCAGGGTGGAGCTGTGGTGTGAGTTTACAAATTTTTTAAACAATGGAGCTTTTTAAAAGCAGGCAGCTGACATTTGTAACCTGCCCTCTGAAGCCAGCTGTGGGGGCAAGCTGCTGTCCCAGAGCTTGGGGCCAGCAGTAGCACAGGGACTTGCACATCTCCATGGCAAATAAAGCAGGGACACAGCCCTTAAATTTGTCCCTTTGACTGCAGAGTTTGATGATCCTGCCCACTACAGTTACCTCAAAATCTGCTCTAAACCACAGCCTCTCATCTGTGACTGGCAAAGCACAAGGCAGAAAGTGCCCAAAGCCAAGGGCTGGGAAGGACAGCAAAGGGGATAAGCAAGGATAATGTCACAGAGCAGACAAGTGGATTAATGAGGAAGTTGTTCAGAGCTCACTGCTTCTCCTTCTGGGATAGCAGAGCCAAGGAAGACCCTGCCTTGCTGTCTCCCACCAAAGTGCCTCAAAGAACCTGTTCTAACAATGTTTTCTAACAATTCTTTAGCTTTTCTCAAAGGGCCAGGGTACTCAGAACTGAGCTTTGTCAAGCTGCTGATGTTGTCACCTGGTGCCACTGCCAGTGACTCTGTTCATTGCATAAAGTGTTTATAGTAACTCCTGTGGAAGGGAGCTGTGAGGATCACAGTGCTTCCCTTCTAACTGGGGAAAGGGGAATTTATACATGCATCAGACATGTAAAATAGGCTCAGCTGGGGCAGGCTTGCTGCTGTAACTCTTTAGTTTTCAATGCACTTGCACATTTGGTGTGAAATTAGCTTTAGCATACCCAGACTATGGTACACTGAACTTCTCAGTATCTTGCTGTCATAGCACAGCACTTGCTTTGTTCTCTCTGAAGAGAATTCTGCTCCCCAGGTGAACTCTGGGACCAAACTGGGGCACATCCTGGCCTCAGCTCCAGGATAAGCTGCTCACCAGCAGCAGCAGCAGCAGCTAAGCAGTAAAGAGTGGCTGGCACAAACCTCAGCATGACTTGCCTTTATGCCTCTAGGTCCTTGCTTTCCTTCTTGTCCAGTCTAAACCGTGCATGGTCCTGTCTCCTGCCCTCCAGGTGAGGGATTTCAGGACTCTTGGAGGAGAGAGCTTGCAGGTTTCAGCTGCCCACATCCAACCCCTTCTGCTGCCCACAAAAAACCCAAAGAGATGATGCAGCTCAAGCTGGGCCCTTCCATGCAGTGAGCCAGAGACATTCCTGGGCACAGCCTCTGCCCACAGTGAGAGTGAGCAGGGTGCTGAACCTCTGAACATGAGAGAGGTGATGACAAGCTTATCTTAGCTCAAGAGCCATACACAGCAATGCCAAGGTTTGCAAATTAATAAAAAGCCAACAGCATTACAGATAAATGTCTTTTAATTAGGATTAAATACTATCTCAAGGTATCTTGAAATCGCACTTGTACTGTACTATCAACAGCCAGAGGCAATAAAAAAAAGTCTGAAAACGTAGAAGTTCTAGCATCCAACACATGACAGTAAGTGCTGCCATTTAAAGCAACAAACACCGCTCCCAAGAACAGATATTCTTAAAGGAAGAAGTTGTAACATTTTTGTATGGACAAAAAAAAAAGTAATTTGAAGACCAGAAGAAATATATTAGTGCCTGCCTTTTTCAAAGGTTTTTTTTTTTTTGCTGTTTTTCTTTTTTTTTACATTAAATACAGTTTTCTTTAAAAGCAAGGTACTTTCTAAATTCATGGTTTATATACTGTATGTACACAAGAGCAGAACATTGTACAGTGTTTTTGGATAAAGCAGCACTAACTAGCTGTAAGCTGGTACGGTGTTGCTGACCCAAAAAGCAAGATGACAAGTTAAGCACTCTAGGAGAAGTATCTCCGTGGTTGGTATGAGAAAAGTAAAGTATCATGTATGTACAAACTGACCTTCACACAAACCCTGCCAACTCGGCTTCATTTGCTGTGGAACTGCACATGCTGCAGCTGATCCATGGAAGCCTGACTGCTCTGAGACCCACAGCAACCCTTTCCTTTCAGAACAAGGTGCATCACCCATGCAGAGAGCACTGGCACAAGTCATTATTGCAACCCCTGGGCTCTGGGGGAGCGCATTCTCACTGCAGCCTCAAGCCAAGGGACACCTGCATGTTTTTTCACTTTAGAAACACAAAATGCCCCAACCAGACCATGTGAAATTGAGATTAAAGCTACCTTAAGCATCTGTATGTGCACCTGGCCTTTCTGCCCACAGCTACGAATTAAAGCAGAAAGTTTGCACCCCACTATCACCAGTTCAGACTAAAAAGGAGTGGCAGTGATCTCCATCATTAGTGCAACATTAACTCCTATACTCTACCAAAGTGACTGACTGCTCTCCAGATGCATATTCTGGTCTTACAAAACTGGTTTCAAGTTTGTAGCCTTGTATTTTTTTTTTAGTCTACCCCATTAAAAACCCCATTACACTCAGGAGCAGTCTGTGTCCTGTTCAAAGCCAATTGCATCAAAATATGACTTTTATTCTAGGGTTATCAGTGGGGCAGAGATTAAGGTTCTTCTTGTTACACGTACTTTTAAACACCATTCAGTTGTGCCTTCAGAAGAGGTTATTTGCTGTACCTTCAGGACGTTGTTCATCCTTGTCTTGCACACTACACTGGTTTAAGGAACTGAATGTTTCTTATTTGATGAGGACAGAAGTGAGACAACTTGTTTCTAAACTGCATAAACTTAAAGTTTCAAGTTTTAATGGTGTAAAAAATCTGACATTCAATTACAGTTAAGAGAAACTTGCTACACAGCAAACTGCATCCAAATCTACCAGTTACTGATGGGACCTTTAAATTAACCATCAACGAGTCATTGAAGGCATCCAGACCTGGAAACGTCAGATCACCCAGCCAGTGAGCCAGCAACTCCCTCCCCCTTTTTCATGAGGCTTTAACAAGTGCAATGGATGTGACCTCAGCACTGGAGCCAATGACTCCAATCCCCAAAAAGGTTAGGGAGATCCTGTGTTAAGCCCAATGCAATATGCATTAGTGTCATGGAGCAGGAAGATCCCAGTGTCTACTTGTTAAAAGTTCACACAAACCATACAGATACAGACAGGATGAAACACAGACTCAAAAGGATCCATTATGCTTGAAGAAAATTCCAAATAAAATGACATCTTCTGCACAGCCCAGCCTCAGACACAGCCACACCTTTATCTAGTATAATAAACTCTGTAGTAAACTGTTTTTGACCTCCATAGAGAGTAGGAGTTGTCAAATTTAAGAAGATAAACTCCTCTCCCTGGGTACTGGTGGCTGCCAGCATACACTTCTTCGTGACAGTCTCGTCTGTACACAGGCACTATTTCATCTAGCTGAGGCTTGTTGGCATTCTTTTTGGCTTTTTCTTCACTGCTAGTATTTTCTGCAAGGGAAAAAAAGAGGTGTCAGTGAACACGGGTGATGCTTTATGAAAGAAAGTCAGACTAATCTCTAGGGGACAAAGCCCTCTCTGTTAGTTTAGGAATGAGAGGAGTCACAGGGATCCATACCAGAAGGAACAGAAAGGATATTCACTTTATCATGATTTTAGCAGTTTGGTATTAAAACTCACCACACCCATCTGCCCAGCACAGCCAGGTCAGTTTGTGGAGATGCCAAACTTTGGTTTTCAGTGTGACAATCACCCACCACTGATGTGCCATACTGACCAGCACAGATCACTTGGCAGTGGCTCCCAAAAAGCCACTGCTTCCTAGGTGAGGGCAGCTCCTTCCAAGCAAACCACATGCTCATTTCAAAACATTTTTGTGATGTATGCTGGACATTTTTGTGATGGTATGCTGAACTCCTCCACAGGCAGAGGCTGTGACCTGTGTCTCAGCCACTAGCAGGATCTGCTCTCTGAGGCTGTTTTGCTGCAGCCTCAAGGAAACTTCCTCCCTAGAAAGATTGTTCCCAAGGTTTCAGAGTGCAGATCCACTGTGCTCTGTGACACCATGGGTTTCAGTTCACTGAACAGCTGACTTAGGAAAAGGATTTCCCCAGCCTCAGCTGCTTCAGCCTGCCTGTGACCCAAAGAGGGGACTGAAGTTACCTGCAGAACTGCAGTTGTTATTCAAAATTGAAAACATGACTCCAGGCAGATGGAAGCCAGGGAAAGCAGGAGATTACACAAGACCATCAGTGGGGTTTCCCCCACAGCAAACCCTGACAGTTTACACACATTAGCGTGCTTACCTTCCTCTTCCTCCTCATCATCACTGGACTCGCTGACATGCACACTGACTGCAGTATTAGGGGAGTCTGTCCATTCAAAATACACCCCAAAACCAATGTCATAATTGTCTGTAGCAAACTCCCAAAAGAGGTAAGACCCCTCTTCATGAGTTGGGACTCTGACTGTAACCACTTCTCCTCGGCCCACTGTGATCACAGAGTCTGCGTCCTGACGGATTTTTTCCTTGAAGTCTTTGATCTGGGGTCGTGTCCACATGGATGGGGCAGCAATCACTGGGACAGAATCTGGAGACGGGGGAGGAAACACTCCAGTTAGGCTTTGTTTCAGTTATTTATGCTGCAGACTTAAGTGTGTGCCTTAGGAGCACTTGAGGGCCCCAAGCATTAAAGTTGCTTCCAGGTGATTTTTTTTAACAGAAGCAGCAAGTTTCAGCTCTGAAAAGATGCATGAACCAGTGCAAATTTAGTTATAACACTACTAAATGTTACCAGTTCACCCACCCAGCACATTTTAAGCAACAGTGCTTATGCAGAAAAGCCTCAGAAGGCAAATGTACTGCTACACGTGACAGTTTCATACTGCACAGAACCCTTCACTGGGAGGATCTTTAAACAGCTCTGACCCAGCTCAAATAAAACTCAGCGTATTTCTGCTCAGAACAGCTTTGTGCTAGAACTTTCATGCCCCTTTGCTTGAAGCCTAGAGTGACAGGAGGTTCTGGATCCCATCAACTTTGCTGAAATGCTCCTCTTTCCCTCTCCTCCCAAAGCTGAGCTTTGCCTATACAATATTATCCTCTCATGAGAGACAGCAGCCCCAGGAACCAAACCTAACTTTTCCACAGGCAAATAAAGCCAAAGAAAGAACCACAGCAACCCTACTTAAGACACTTGAACCCTAAAAAAGGCTTTTGTTATTTATTTTTAATTAAGACATTCAGCTAGTCCCACCTTTTGGTCCATTCTCCAGTGCTTCTTCCAACACCTCTGGATCCAGCTCTTTTTCAGGGCTGTCTGCATGTGCACTGGCCTGCCCATTGATGGATGGGGTGTCCCCTGGGGCAGGGCTGTTCACCTTTGATGCAGTAGTCAGGGGTGTCCCCGTTGCTGCCACCGCTGCATCCTGCTGCTTCTGTAAGGCTGCCTAAAACAACAGGAATTTCAGTCAAGTACAACCAAACCCTCCCAAGATGCCAGTTTTACACCTTCCAGCAGAAGGCATAAAGACAATTTAAAGAAAAACCCTCCCCCTTCAGCCTACAAGGGGGCTTGACCCCAAAGACCAGCAGCAGCACATCTGCTCAGTCCCAAGGGATGTGAAACCACTTGGCTCTAGGCTGGTGGACACAACCTGAACAAAAAAAATTCAACTTTCAAATTAATGATGGTGCACACAAACTCTTGCACTTAACTATGTAAGTTTTTCATTACTTTCATTTCTGAATTAAAAAATTTAAAAATTCCTAACATTTCTATCAAAGTTGGAAGGGTGACTTGTTTGCTGGGTTGGTTTGGTTGTGTGGGGTTGTTTTTTTTTTTTTTTTTTTTTTTTGTTTTGTTTTGTTTTTGTTTTTTTTGTGGTTTTTTTTGGGTTTTTGTTTTTGTTTTTTTCTGGCTGGAAGGGTTCCATCCAGCCTGAGCTCATCCAGGTATAAAAAGAGCTGACTATTGAAGGTCTATTAGCTACTTGCCAATTTATAAATCAAACAGAGAATCTCCCTGTCCCTTGTTACCAGCCCAGAGAGACAACACAGGCTTTTTTGTTGGGACAGGGAAAAGATGTAAGTGACAGTGTCACTCTAAAGGATAACCTAATAATCACAAGATTTTGATGAGCAAATGGAATATAGGTATCCTGCAGGAATGTGAAGACAATATAGAAAAATATCAGTTAATATTTCAAATTTAAGCCAATTGTATGGATGCTGTCCAAATTTCACTATCTACTACAGCAGTTTTGTGCACTGAAAGGTGGTGTGAACTTTTCTACTTCTAAATCAATAACTGTTGCACACAGTTTTCCCAAGATTAATTGCATCAGAAGCTGATCTGTAAGCAGAACAGCACCAACAGATCCCAGTGCACCTGACTCACAGGCATCCAAATAAAGTATTCCTCAGAAGTGTTACAGAAACTACATGGGGGAAGCCCAAAGAGTAATTATAACAGGGCAGAAAGTCTGACTTTCCTACACCACCTCAGCTCCATCCAGTTGTGGGGAGCTTAGAAGGGACCTATAAAGATATCTAGAGCCACACCCCTGCCATGGGAATGGACACTTTCCACTAGACCAGGCTGCTCAAAGCTCCATCAAACCTGTCCATGAACACTTCCTGGGATGGGGCTCCCACAGCTTCTCTGGGCAACCTGTGCCAGTGGCTGACCACCCTCACTGTAAAAAAAGAGCCTTCCTTATGTTCAATCTAGACCTACACTCTCACAGATGAAAACCTTTGCCCCTCATCCTGTCACTCCAGGCCCTGGTAAAAAGAACTTTCTTACAAACCCCCTCTGGGTACTGAAGGGCTGCAGTGAGGTTTCCCCAGAGCCTTCTCTTCTCCAGGCTGCACAGCCCCAGCTCCCTCAGCCTGTTGTCACAGCAGAGGTGCTTCAGCCCTCTGAACATCTTCGTGGCCTCCTCTGGACTTGCTCCACATCCTTCTCATGCTGGGGACCCCAGAGCTGGATGCAGCACTGCAGCTGGGGTGTCATGAGAGCAGAGCAGAGGGGGAGAATCATCTCTCTTCCTCAACCTTCTGGCCACACTTATTTTCCTGCATCCCAGGATATAAATGACTTCCTGAGCTGCAGAAGTCCACTGCCAGCTCATACTCAGTGTTTCACCCACCAGGACAGCTCTCAACTCATTCACCCCAAGACTGTACTGATACTGGGGAGTACCCTCACTTGACCCACTGAACTTCATGAGGTTCACATGACTCCCTTCCTTGGACATTTCTTTACTGAAAGCATCAGCCTCCACAAAATACAAATGGCTTGACAGGCAATCAGTTACTGAACTTCAGGTGTTGAGCTCAAGTACAGAGCTCAGGCTGGCAGCTACAGTCTGTCCTCCCACCCAAATCACGAGCAGCTTATTGCAGGCAAGCAATTTCATCAGGTATTAGTATGTGATGAAGTCAGGCAATAGGTGCAGAAGGAGAGAGAAGTCAGCAGTGCTCAGGCTGGCAGGGAGGAGCAACCTGCAACCCAGCAGAGATGCTACAGTGCTGCATAGGCGTGCTCAGCTAGAAACACAGGGCTGACCACAGCCTGCTGCTCTGCACTGATCTCCAGGAGAGTCACCTGGAGAGCTCTGTTCATGCTCAGATGCACTGGGGTGTCATTAAATTACACACACACATCACCAACGCTGCAGCAGAGCAGCTCACATTTCATCTCCAACAATAATATTGAACCAAGTCATTAGCAAAGAATGCTTAGTGTTTTCTTAATTAACAGCTGCTTCAGAAAACTACTCCAAAAAGATGAAACAAATAAAGGGGCTTTGGTGTGTGAATCTGAAGCAGCATTAGTCACTAGCAGGGTAGCTCTCCCTGCGGCAATTATCTTTCCAAGGAGATAACAGCAGACTGTTAATGTATCCCAGTGACAGCCTGGGACACAATGGCCGTGTTCCTCAAGGACACAAAGGCTGGGTTCCCAAGGGACACAAAGGCCAGGTTCCCAAGGGACAGCCTGGGTCACAAAGCCCACATTCCTAGTGAAACCCTGGGACACAAAGGCCAGGTTCCCAAGGGACACAAAGGCCAGGTTCCCAAGGGATAGCCTGAGACACAAAGCCCACGTTCCCAGTGAAACCCTGGGACACAAAGCCCACGTTCCCCAGTGACAGCCTGGGACACAAAGGCCAGGTTCCCCAGGCATACCTGCTGCTGTGCCAGCTGGACCTGGTAGAGCTGCTGCATGTACTGCTGGTAGTGCTGCTCCTGGAGCTGGCGGATGAGGATCTGCTGCTGCTCGAAGTTGCCCGGGTACTGCTGGGCCGCGTACTGCTGGAACTGCACGGCCGTCTGCGAGTTCAGCGCTGCCATGATCTGCTGCCTGCACAGCACACACAGCCTCAGCACAGCCCAGCCTCTGGGCAGCCCCTGCACTCAGCTGCCTTTGAGGCCACTTACAGCACTTAGTGCCATTCTGCAAAACCCAACTAAAATGAAGCGACGTAATGGACGAGAACCCAGAGCTAAGGCAGATGTGAGTTTTGCCCAAAAATCCGCTGAGAACATAAAGAAGGGAGCAATGTTTTCTACTCATTGTTTGGAAACATCCAATGGTAAAACAAGAGCTCTTACATAATTTCTATCTGTAGTCTGATAAAGAGGCAGTGCTACACAAAACCCACATGACTGAATTTCTCAAACAAGCAAAGGAAAAAACGCACATATGCCTTTTTCCAGAAACCATCCTTCCAGCAGACCTTCTATAAGTATTGGTAGGAACAAACCTGCTGTGGCACAGCACACCAATGCTTTTTGGTGAATCTAAGAAAAACACTCCACATAACTATCTCAGTTTTCCTGGTCAGTATGCAAACAAATACAAGAAACATGACTGACAGTGGCCTAATTCAGGAACAACAACAAAAAAAGTGCTGCCAGATGGGGCATCTGCATCTCCAGTAAACTCAACTGCTGAAAATTCAGGAGGAACACATGGGTTACATATACACAGGCTGTTTTTCTCCTCTCTCTATAGAACTAACAAAAATCCTATGGCTAAATGACAAGAAAGATCACGGGCCTGTCTCATGTTATGTCCATCAGTCACCAACTATCAGTGTTTCAGAGGAAGGAAGAAGTATCACACAACTGCAAGAAAAATTATTTCCTTCTCACTCTTCCTCCATTCCCAAAATTCACATTCTAAAGCACCAGTATTAGACTGGTCTAATCTAGTCTAATATCACAAAGAGCAAGATTTACTGCTTTTCAGCAAACTATGACCACTTTAGATACACTTGGTACCCACATTCCTTTTCTGTCTAAAGTTTTTGCCTCTGTAACCTGCTATGACCACTTAATACACAACTCCCATTCATGTGAAAAACCCTCCCAACTTCAAGGCATACCACACTTCGTGTTACTTAGCACTGTGCAACACTTTATAATGCATATATAAATTTACATCTGTCTCTTACCCTCCTCTGGCTCTCACCAGGTTAAACAAGCAGCAAAACTTGTGGTTTAATTATTTGCTCCCTTCTCAAAACCACTGCATAGCAAGCATTGGGTCTACTTCAGAGACACCCCCTGCAAAGACATTCTGATGGTGGAAAATAGATGTGGAACAGCTTTACCATTCTCTTAAATATTACATGTGCAAAGCCAGATGTGTGTTTTCAGCATCTGGATGTGATGGGAACAATGGAATACAATTAGAACTGTATATTCGAAGTATGTAATTGCCTCAAATGCAAGGCAGTTGCTTTCTTTTAAGGGTTGTTTCCACTACTCACTTCTGCTGTTCCATCCGAAGCCGTTCCTCCTCTATTCTCCTCCTCTCCTCCTCTTCCCTTCTCAGCCTCTCCTCCTCTTCTCGCCTCCGTTTTTCTTCTTCCTTTTGTAGCCGCTCCCGCTCCTCCTCCTCGCGCCGCCTTCGCTCCTCCTCTTCTCTCCTGCAACATCCACTCCATAAGCCATTTCAGCACTCCTACAACCCCAGCATGAGTTACTGCATTCCTACAATCCTAGAATGAGTTACTGCATTCCTACAATCCTAGCATGAGTTATGTTCAACATGCTGTAACCTGCCTTTTGCCTGCCCAGCGAGGCTTTTTGTCTGGCACCATCCCCTCACACTTAAATTGGCCTGGAGGAGTGTCTTACTGGACACACAAAAAAATTAATCAGATTATTGCAGAGTTTTATTGCACTCAGCAGCATGACAAGGGTAAATTCTGTGTTACAATTTGATAGTCATGCTAACCTGTTACTATGCCACCTGCATTGCAGAAAAAATTGCCTGGAAGCTTTAAGCACATCTTCCAAGCTTTCACACATGTTCAGTAATGATGTGGATACTATGGCTTAATAATCACACCTGGAAACAATAATAAGGCAGCCTTTATCAAGCTGCTAACCCATATTAGCAGAGAAGTTTAAAACTGACAATTTAATATTCTCTGTATATTTAGTCCACAGACATATTGGGATAGACATTTTGTGAAGCATTTCTTCTAAAGCAGATGACAGTATAAACAAAATTCTTAAAACTCCTAAAAAACCACCCATTACTGGCAAAGTAAAAAGGCTTAAAGAGATCAAATGGTACCACAACCACCTACATTTCAAGCATTTCCCTTCCCAAGACAACTCCAACCTAAGCTGGCTGTGATACTGTCCCCAGGCCAAGAGTTACACACACTCCATAGCTGCCAACACCAAAGCAACCAAATGTTACCTTTTCTTTTCTTGCTCTTCTTTCTCTATCTTGTGGGAAGTGACATACGTTGAGAACAAGTGGCAGCACCTATGTAGGAGCTTGACAAATTCTGTCATAGCTTTTTGCTTTGACATGTTTCCAAGGGCGGCCCATTCCTTCCTGAGAGAGAGAATTCAGCTGAAATAACAGACTCAACTCTTTTTAAGCCAGTAGTGAGTGCTGACAGCCCAGCAAATAAAAAAAAAAAAAGTTGAAAGACCAGGAACCAAAAATTATCATTTGCAGTTTCAGAGAACCAACAACTTCTTCCCAAAGACAGTACAATGTTCTCTTCTGCCTGCACAATGTTCTCTTTTCTTCTGTCTTTCAAATAGACATAACTCAGCTCTTACATGAAACTTCATACATCCCATCAACCCTACTTTGAATTCTGAGCTATGTCAAAAAACTTCCCAGTGAAAGAGAAGCTGAAGTATTTTTTAACCTCCTTCCACTCTCGTTTGTAGACAAAAAGTATACATTTTCCTGAATGAACAAATATGGTAACAACTATTGATTATAGCACTTCAGTTATTTGAAAGACACAGCCTTGCTCTTTCTAAGAAAAGCTACATCCTTTTGTGCAAAAGTAGTGCACTGGGTCTACCTCAGAAAAACGACTGCAGTATGGCACATTGCCTCCAGTCTAGAACACCAAAAAGAGCTACAATGAACATGAGAAGTGCAGCCTGAGCTGCAAGCAACACAAGAGACATACCTGAGACTTCCCAGGTCTCATAAAAGATTTACCCAGCGTTTGAATGCATCAGGTTTTAATTTTCTGACTTCAGAAATTAGCTTTGGTGTTAGGAACAAGCTGTGATGAATGCTTCTACCACTGGCAAAAGCCTTGGCCTGCTGTAGCCATGGTGTGGAGTTTGAATGAAAGATGGGCCTGCACATTAATGCATCTTAAACTGCTATGAGAAACTGGACTGTCAGCAGAGCAGCTTCAGTGTGGTTGAAAAAAAAACAACCACCCAATAATCTTCTGTTAGTTCCTGTACTGAACTGTGACTCACACTTCTTACATGTATTTGAAGAGGCCACTTTCACTTTCCACTAGCACAGACACTTGAGATAACATCATCCAATTTCTACAAGTGTGTGGGTTATCTCCTCACAGGAAGAGCAGAGTTAAGACCAACAAAAGCACCAGCCCTTTTACCTTCTATCATTGCCCAGCACATCAAAGAATCCAACTTCAGGGCAAGTGTCAGGGTTGTAAGGTCCCAGCAGAACCTGCTTGTGCAGTGCCACAAGTTTGAGTTTTTCTTCATATGTTGGATGAAAGGCTTTGCCATCTTTTTCTGTAGGGGAAAAAAAAAAAAGAAATGTTCACTGTTGTGATTAATTAAGCACAGAATATGAATGAGTATGTTGCATAACCATTACCATGATTTCCACCATAAAAAAAGAGAAAAAAAAAAGTCGAGTCACAAAAGGTTAGACAAATTAAGTCAGTTCTATTTAAAATATAGATCTGTCCAGAAAAAACACATCTACTTCAGCTAATGAAAACTTCAGTGTGGAGTGTTTTGCATCCCACTATCTACAGCCAGTCATCACATAGATATTTACATTAATTTGTTGAACATCACACCATATGGATCTATAGCTCCAAAATATTTAAAGACCTTAACTGAATTCAAATGTGTCTGCCAAGTCTACTCTAGTATGCATAGGAAGGATTTCCACAAAGAAAGACGTGATGTTAGCTTTATAAACTGCTCTCCTCTCATGCTCTTCACACCCGTGAAAGCAGAACAACCAAGGTTGAAGGCAAGGAGGAGAGCAAAAATTAAGAGTCAAGGAGAGTTTTCCTTGAGGGAATACAATTGCTGCCCTTGGCCAAGGCAGCTGGAACAGCCTCTCACAATGAAAAGCCTTGCAGCTGACTCCATCAGCTCCAACACATACAGTGAACTCTGACAATGAGAAGGCAACACAAGCCTGAAAATGTTCCAGTGGCTCCACAGGAACATCTTCTGAAGCATTCCCAGTTGGATCCCACCATGCTTTTACTGCTAAGAAGATACTTGCATTGATTTAAAATGATATGTGAGTTAGTCAGCGAGGACTTACCTCAACACATTTAAATTGTCAAAACAAATCAAAGAAACAGGCATTGCTCTGTGTGACTACACTGCTCATTAAGAAAAAGACATTTTTCTCAAACAGGAAAACAAATAAATAAGCACCATCTCCTTCTGGAAGGAGAAATGAGGAAGCTACTAGCAGAGGTAAAAGATAATCACTTCTCATGACTGCACTGCTCTCCATGTAAGTGGGAGCTGGAGACAAAGCTGCCACTCATTCCCAGTTCTCCTTCAGAGCAAGGTCATTACAGCCCCAAAATGAACAGTCCACACCTAAATTTCAGGCTGACACATACTGCAAAACTGCTTGGCTGACACTTGTGAACAGTTATTAACAGGAAAACAATCTCAGAACTACAAATGAAGGAAAATACCCCTACTACGGTATTGAAAAACTCAGAGCAAATACTTCTGAAATCAGAAACAATCCTAGTGGGAAAGTGCTTGCAGGTCACAGCAAGACATTCTATTTTTTGACAGACAAAGTTCAGTACATTGCTGGACTTACTCAGCTGAAATATCAAAAGGAATTACTACATGCCATTTACTTTGAAGCCACAATCAAATGATTAGGAAGGTAAATATTTAATTACTTATTATCCATTCCTAGAAGTCCACATCACTGTTGCAGAATTTCAAGTATTTGCTCTTGTCCCAGTGTCACACAACCTTGCAGCAAATATAACTGCCAGCTTCAAAACCAGAAGCATTTCTCCCCAAAAATATCTACTTCCAAAAAAAAAAATCTGATGGGGTAGAAAAGGGGGTGGGGGGGATGTAAAAACTGAACCGGAGTTTACTCAGTGTACACAATGAAAGGACAAGAGGCAGCTGACACAAACTGAAGTATAAGAAATGCCATTTAAGCATTTTATGGGGTTTTGTTTTGTTTGTTTGCTTGAAGTTGTTGGGGTTTTTTAATGCTGTTGTTTTTGTTTTGTAAACTGAGAGTGATCAAGCACTGGAACTGATGGCCCTGAGAAGTTTTTAAGTCCCCATGATGGAAGATATTCAAAATCCAATGAGAGACAGTGTCATGAAGCCTGAATTGAAAAGGAGGGCTAAATCTGACAATCCCCAGCAGTCCCTTCCTATCCAAATCTGTGATCCTTAAGGGATTCAATCACCATGTTCTGGTGAGCTTTCAGCTCCTGCTCTCAGGCCTACCAAAGAGCCCTTTGGCTCTTCCTCAACTCTTCACAATTTACACTCAACTCAGAAATCACTTATTAAGTAACAAGCACTTCCATTAGCCTCAATAAACAGCACTACTTTGAAATAATATTTAATATCCTGGGGCATTGTGCTACAAAGCAAGTCAATTGACAAAGGTACCACGCTGAAATTTTGCCAGGCTTCTGAGCAAAGCATGATTCTCAAGGGGGTCCCTCTAGCACAGTTAACTTTTCACAACCTGTGTACCTACATCTGTCTGGCATAATACACAGCTCTTTGCTGTACTAAACTGCTACCTAAGCAGGATAACATCATCAGTATTTGAACTCACTCCTGAGAAGAGTTACAGTGAAAAAACCTTCGTTTCTCATGCAATGCACAGCACATCTGCATTTTCACAGAACAGAGAAGTCAGACCTCATGCCCTAATTACTGTGAGAAGCCAAAATCTGCATTTACAAAGAACGGTGACCCAAGGGAAGAACAACAAACAAGCTAAATAAGAGAGGGGAAAAGACAGAGGACAAAAATACAAGACAAGCTTTCAGTGACTTGCAGATAATGTAGCTCAGAAGCAAATTATCAGAAAAAGACTTGCAGCCAGTCAGACAGTGAAGTTAAGTTTCACACTAACTATTTTGCAGTTGAACTCTACAGCATAAACCACACTGTATAATCACCCCAAAGATCAGGAATTGTTGGTGCTTAACTGAACCAGAGGACCTGAATTCATCTGCAGAGTCAAATAAGCCAAAAAGAGCATTAGTGTGTCTAGACAAGTAGAAGTGCCAAATGTATCCAAGCATCCGTGAAGGCGCCGTTGAAGCAGGCATTACCCACACACCTCACACAGCTGGGGGAAGTGGAAGAACATCAAAGAGCTCCAGGGAACACACTGAAAAATCCAAAGGACGTGCACAGCAGTAACACAGCAGCTGCACAACCTTCCCTATGGCCACTGGGATCCCTGGCCCAACAAGGCCAGGAAGATGCTCAGTTTTCACCCACAACAGCAGGATGAAGCTGTTACCAGCAATGTCAGGGGCTCATGTCACTGTGTGGCACTGTATTATTGACATGGATTGATAAAAACTCACAAATTTAGACACAAAGGAGTTTAAGAAATATGCTTAAGAGATTGCATTGTGCAAGATACTGTTACTGCTCTGTAACTTCTGTATTTTTTTTTTTCCCATTAGAAACACGGCACACCATGCTGCACCTTCCACTCCAACTTCACCTACTGCACCCACTCTAAATGCCTAATTCCTTTGGGATGGCATTCAGTTGAGTCATCCAGAAAACAATTTGTGAAGAGTGATTTTGCACCTCATAGCTTTTAAAAGCAGAAGTCACATATGTTAATTCTATTAATTTGCAACGTTTTAATGAGCAAGACCAAAACTGAGAAGTGTGAGGACTGAACTGCTTCCTGCAGAGCCCAGCTCACTCTTACACTCCTAATCCCCCTCTCCTGAAAGTGTGTTCTGCCTCAACAGAAGAATTAATGACTGGCCCTTCCAATTAAACAAGATCAAAGCTCAACTTCACAAATGTAGATATCTTATAGGGGTTTTCATATTCTTGACAACAAGAGCCTACTTAACTTACGAATTACAATCATACCATCAAGTTAGTGCTCAAAAAAAGAGGTCAAACAATTAATTGAGAAAGATGTTCTGCTGAGGTTGAAGATGCATTCTTCTTAGGATAAGAGGAAATAACTTAGAGCAGTCAAAGAAAATTAGAGTACTTAACATTCCAGGAGAGCTTTTAGATACCAAAATGATATGGCTTGTGTACTGTCTGCTCAGATGTGCTGCACTGCAAATCACTTTAGACAGTGCATGAACACTTCAGGGACTGTCATATATTGAAGGTTGGGTGCAATGGTATTTCAATGACAGGATGTGGAAAACAACAAAGCCAGGCTGATCCTGGGAGAGATTTGCTGGCAGAGCTATGCAAGCCACCCTCTCCTGCTCCAGGACAGAGCTTGAGCAGGTTACCTTCACTGGCATAACTCGTACCAGCTCAGCAAGCAGGGGAAGCCATCAGAGACACTTGTACTGTGCCAGATGCCCCAGGGCTCACAATTACAGGCAGTCCTAGAGACAAAGAAATGTACAATGACTGTAACATGACTGTTCTCCACTGTACATGGACCCAGCAGAGTGGAGCAGCTTCTTAATGGCAGCTTCTAGAGCTGCTTGACCTGCGCTAGGCAGGGAAAGAGTGCATAAGGGAAAGAAAAGAAGGCTCGTGTTTCCCACAGAAAAATGGACTGGAACACTGTTACCATCTATTTTTTTTACCATCTATTTTCTATCCCTCTGTTATTCTGAAAAGCTCTCTTCACAAGCCATTATGAATCTTAAAAAAAAAAAGATAGTGCACATCTCCTGCACAGCCTAAGGCCTGACAGTTAAAGTGACCCAGGGCCAGAGCATTTTAGATCTGCTTTAGATTTGTCTTTATCAGAGAACAGAATAAAGCAGCTTTTGAGCCTCTTTAATATCCTAGCCTAGTTTCAGTTGTGTTTTGCTCATTGTTTATGCACACTCTCACCCTGCCTTGTCTCTGAGCAACTCTGCTACCTGCAGTATGCCACCACTGACAAGTGTCAGCAGACACTGCAATAAGCAAACTCAAAGTATTTTGATCAGATTCAACTTCTCTTGGACAAAAGCACCCCAGGAGTTACAGAGAACCCGGGTTGCACACTGAAGCAGAAAAAAAGCTGCTCGACTACCAGGATAGTTTTTATAAGAATGGTCAGAAACAAGATCTCAGCACTGGCCTGTTAAGATGGGCCACCCTTCAGATGGATCTGCTGCCTCTTGAAGTGCAGCAGGAATCCCTGTTTGCTCCTTGGCATGCACAGGGCTGCTAACCAAGCGTGCCCACTCCCACAGTTGTTCTGACAGCATGAAAATAATTTGGAAACGAGACCACTTATTTTTGGAGCTGTGCAGATATAGAACAAGCTGGCAGAATCAGTAACCCAAGTATTGCAAGCTCCTGTAGCTCCCCAT